AAATATGACTTAAACCATGAAAGCACAGTACCCGATAAGCCAAATGAGCGCTCAAGTCGTGTGAGTAGAACAGCATGGTCAATAGTGTCAATAGCTGCTGACAGTGTCAATAGCTGCTGACAGATCCAAAAGAGTTAAAAGACAGATGTTTTTGCTATCAACGGAATCAAATCAATCAGACATTACTTTTAAAAGCGCAGTTTCGGTACTATGATGAGTTTTATAGGCAGATTGGTAAATTTCCTCAAGACCATTTTTTCTCATGTGAGCCAAAACGTGACTTAAAACAATCTTCTCTAGAATTTTTGAGACAAATTGCAAATTCGAAACTGGTCGATAATTTTTAAATTCATTTTTATCAAGCCCGGGTTTTTTCAATAAAGGTTTTACAATAGCTTGTTTGAAAGTATTAGGTACTGTGCCTGTGGCAAGTGACATATTCACTATTTGAGTAATTTGAGATAGGACAGTATCAATACAGGATATGAGTACATGAGCAGGCATTGGGTCAAGGTAACATCTTCCGTGCAGTAAAACCTCCTGATGCCAGTGTCATGATCTACATGTACGACAGTGTCAGAAATAATCCAGTTCCGATGTTAACTGCAGCAAAAAGAGGAAAGGAAAGTGAAAAAAAAACACACTTGCACGTGGATATGCGCTTCATAAATGCAATTAGATGTATCATCATCAGTTTTATTATTATTATTATCATTATTATTATCATTATCATTATCATTATTATTATCATTATTATTATTATTATTATTATTATTATTATTATTATTATTATTATTATTACTATTACCGACAACTAAATTTCTTTTCTCCTCAGACCTGTGCCCTGTGCCATTTTGCAACTTGGTGAACCGAGGAAAAAAATTGACTGGCATAGGTGGTGTAGCGGTAGGCGCTTCACTGTCACACGCAAGAGAACAGGGTTCGATTTGGGAGTGGGGAAATTATGTTTTTATCGAAAATCTCGGTCTTTCTGTTGGCATGTGGTATTTCTCTGAGTACCAAAGACGTTGGGCAAACACATCAGATCGGTGAGAGAAAGAGGGAGGGATGTAAAGACTTTTTAAGAAATATCCAATGAGGTACAGATTTTACTTTTAAGCATATTCTGATCGAATGTCAGGATATTTTAAAATACTTGTAATGTTTTAATTTGAAGAATTTGTTCTCTATCTCTGATCCGAACAAGGTTATCGATTCGAATTTTTTAAAGAGTATTGGTATTTTTTCAAAAATATAGATAATACTATAAAAATTTAAATAACTGTTTTTACTGTTAAATTTTCACCTTGAGATTTTAACCTCAACTATAAAGTAAAATAAAGCCGAGCTCTGAACTAGCGTGGAAACATCCAACTTTTGTCCCGCACGCTTGAAATAGGACCTTATGCTGTAGTGAACGTTGCAACAATCTTACCAAACGAACTTGGACCTACTAGCAGAGTTGTCTGAACACAGTCCTTGCGCAACTTATAGCTATGTTACAACAGTCAAGTTTTTTGCGCAGCACGATTATAATGCCCAGAAAGTAATCAATAACTATCAACAACTTAAGTGCGTTGTTATGTTATAATTGTCTCAGATAAAAAGAGAACAGGTACGGTGTCAGCAACCCGGAAGATGTTCAACTATTATTTACTTTATTTCCCATACCGCGGCATACCCCCCCCCCCCCCAAGCTCCTTCCCTCCCCTATCCTCGTACAAAACTTACCAATATATATTTCAACAAATGATAAACAGTCCCTAACGTTGGAGTACAATTTGAAACTTTTTTCAACTTACTTTTCTTTTACTCTCTGTTTGTCAAAGGCATGATGTGTGTCTCCAAGATACTAGTAAAATATAGTACAATACGTTATTAAACCCCCCCCTCCCAAAAAAAATTCTTAGCGGATTTACTGGCACGAAAATTAAACTAACGAAAAGGTACAAGTAATCAACATAATTGTTATCTAGTTTTCGTGTAAAAGTAGGGTAGTTTGAGGACGACCTTGCCCGCATTCCGGGAGAGCTGGTTCCGATTCCTCAACGCACGATGTCCTAACCGGAGTTCTGAAGTCAAATATAACAAAATAATTCCTCACTAATGGAATTAGAGCCCTTTACTCCTGAGTTCAGAAGCTGACGTTTTCTTGCTCCTGACTGGCGTAGCCTTGGCGTTTCATGTTATTCCCTCTTGACATTCAGAAAGCAAAAAAAAATTAAAAAATGTAAGCCACCCTCTCTTTAATATCTTATTTTCCTATTACGATGAAATTGGAACAATGGAATCATTGAACCGGTGACCGTTTTCTCTGCGTCGCATTGCTTAGGCTGACACAACAACCAACGCCAGTTCAGCAGCAACCCGGAAGTGACGACTGACTCACACGCAGGCAAAGCGGATAATAAGGGGAAGCCTTTGCAATCTACCAAAGGAAAATTATAAACCTCCCCATTCTGTTGACCCACAATGCTGGGAAATTAGCACGGTACCCTAGATTCTTCTAGCGGTGGGAAAATGACGCAGCTACATTAGATCAACTTTTCACGGTGGCTACTTCTGTTGTTGCACCAGCGCAGTTTTCGCGAGACTTTCAAAGTGCGTCACTCGTAGAGGTTGCATTGATTGGTTGCGTACGGTAAATAAGGGAAGAAGAAGAGATGGATAAGGACGTCACGTGGGGAATCAGAATGTGTATGTTTTCGTGAAGCAGTGTTATTGAACTTATCTATTTTCGCGTAGGCCATGGAGTAATAAGCTTATTTTCTCACTCTGCGTTCATTTTGACGTAATGCAATAATTATGTACACCCCCTGGGGCTCCCCTGAGAACAATTTATTGGAAAGTAGTAACAACTTTCCCAAGATTATTTAAACGAAACAAGTGAAACAACAATGCTTTCCAAAAAAGAAGCAAAGCCTTGTTGCAATCTCATTAGCACGGGTGAAAAGGTCAAACAAGTCCAACAGTTTAAATATCTAGGATATGATAACATCTGATGCCAAATGTTCCACAGAAATAAGACGGAGAATTACAATGGCTAAGGCTAGTTTAAATAAAATGAGCCCAATCCTGAAAAATAGAAACATCTCAATGAACACCTAAAGGAAAGTTCTGAAATGCTTTGTTTGATCAACCCTTCTATATATGGCTGTGAATGCTGGACAACCACGAAAGACAGTGAAAATAAAATAGAAGCAACAGAAAAGCGGTTTCTTAGGAGACTGCTAAGAGTGTCGTGGAAGGAAAAGAAATCAAATGAGGTAGTGGTTGATGAAGGCTAGGTTGGACGCTCAATGTTAAAAACAATAAGGAAACGACAAATGCAGTTTTTAGGACACATAAATAGACATAAAGGTCTTGAACATCTAGATATCACTGGCAAAATTGAGGGCAAACGAGGCAGGGGAAGGCCCAGAACAACATACTTGGAGAACCTAAACAAATGGGTAATGGGGAAAGATCAGGGAAACGTGGCTTTTTTTTTTTAGAGCATCCGAGCAAAGGAATGAATGGAGAACCATGATCGCATCGCCGATGTCTGTCGCAGATCTGGTACTGGATGATGATGCTGGTAGATAAAGTCAGCCTCGAAAACAAATCAACAAGAACATTTAGTACGTATCACTTATATACATAAGTAGAAAATTAACCATTAGGACTGTGTGTTTGCCAAAACAAGGATGGGTCCAATTAGGATCCAAAATAATGTTAGATCTACCACCTCGCTTACAGTGATCCTTCTTCACTCAATCTTAATAATATTGTTGTTGCGCACATTATTTCATTATGACCACTATCTACTATTATATTAATATTTACACTGTATGTTAGCTTTGCGTGCCCATTGAAGCGATTTATAATTAGTAAGTTGGTTAAATTGAGACTTTGGCCAGCTGTAGTCCACGATAAAAATGTAATAAAATATCAGTTTCATAGATCCTTGTTGGAAATTCGTGTTGTCAACTGCACACTTACAAGTACAAATTTTAACATGCACTTATAATAATCAGGCTTCCTGGTATTTTTTGTTGTTGTTGTTAGTTGCTCGGTCTGTTCCAGCGCGAGGTGCTCCAGGGCAGGGGTATATAATATGTGACCAGTGGCGGGGCGCCATTGGTGCAATTGGAGCAAGCGCTCCACCTAACCCTGGCCTTCACACCCCTCCCCCCCCCCCCAACTTAAAAAAAAATGTTCTAAACCAGTCAGTGATCTAGATCAACATGCCTTCTACATGTACATCCTTGCGATCCGTCACTCGCTGGCTGCGCCAGTGAAGAAACAGACGACGAGGAGGGTTTATGCTCGTCGCATCGCTTGCGGTAGTGTCTGCTGGGAGCAAGCAAAATCTTTGCACCAAAGTTATTTTTGTCACTGTAGAGAAATCTAGGCATCGTTCTTTCCGCACAAGAAGAAAGGTGCAAGAAATCGTTCTTCGCAGCACCAATTTGGAGCAAGCTAAAAATTTGATCCAAGTTTCTGCGAGCCTGTCTACTACACGTAGATCTAACACTAGTAGAGTCGACGGTAACTCAATGAAGAATGGGTATCGAAACTGTTGTCTCCCTCTATTGTGTAGCAGGTCCTGGTGCTGCACGAAGTAGATCTAATTAGAAATCTTTAAATCTTCTCAGATTGTGAGCATAGTGAGTAGTTAGTATTATTTCATTTTCTTGCAACTTTTATGCGGTTTCATCTAGAAACAGTTGTAAATATCGATAGATGTAGATTACGGGATATCGTGCAGATTCTAATTGACTTTCTCTAGAAATAATAATAGTAGCTACTAAGCATATTGCCCATTTACTCGCTTTCCAATTATGCACCACCTTGTCTGTAACCCACGCGACGCCACTGTATGTGTCACATCGTGGTGAACTCAGGCGCTCGTCAAAAAACAATCAAATCATAGAAATCCGATTTTCTTAAAGGCGTTGGGATTTGTCTTTGGTTTTTCATTGTTTTTATTACTTTCTTTCTTTCTTTTTTTTTTTTTGACTCATCATGTTTTATAAACATACATCATATCTGTAAGGATGTTACAGAAAGCAATCATTTTCAGCTTTGGGGAATGGGATTTGATTTCAATAACGTGCTTTGGAACCATGGCAGAGATAAATGGTTGGGGTTTTTTTTCCACTTCAGTTGAAAAAATAAATATTCTCGGAATTCTTGTAAAATTTTGGACATAACATAAACACAAAGAGACAAAATAAGTATCAGGAGAAAAGCCAATACTATTATTATGCACATAAACTGCATTCAATTCTGCAACATATATCCAAAATTCACTGGATTCTGGCAGTATTTGACTGAGAGACAGGCATTTTATGGTATTGCATACAAGAGAAGAAAAAAGAGCAAAGTGTCAATTAACTTTCATACCAATGTAAGTCTACATAGACTAAATGAGCAGTTTTTCTGTGTAAGCTGAATTGAACATGAATACAATGTACAAGCAATCTATGAATTTAGAACTTACCAATCTAATATGGAAAACATTCTCCAGTACTAGCATAATGATACGTACAGCCTACTGTATAATGCAGATTGGGTACAAGTTATCACATCGTATAATAATCAAGAAGACAGTTCCTATCCTCTTGCAAACACAGGAAAGTGTCACAGGCAGCACAAGAACTTTGTTTTCCTTTCAATACTGAATTTTTGATAACAAAAGTGTACAGTTTTTCCTTTGACTTGATCTGACCATGCCTGGTATGATTGCGTAAACAGTGAATACTTTTGGCTTTGAAGCAGATGCTCAAAACGTCCGTTATTTTTGGCTCTCCTTTAGTCAAGGAAAAGTATTTAGCATTGTGCATATCTAAAATGACGGGAACCGTTTTATTGCCTTTCCATTGAACTCACAGTATCACCCTGTCTCATATCCCCTCTAGCTTTCCCATTTTTTCACATGTTTAAAAATCCTTTGTGATTACAGATTATTGTACCACAGGCTAACATTCCCTTTTTCAAGAAATTAAGAAAAAGATGAACACAGTAATAAAGATTATACCAAAAAAAACAACAAACAACAACAAGAAGATTATAACCCATGTTGCCTTGAATACCACAGGCTAACATTCCCTTTTTCAAGAAATTAAGAAAAAGATGGACACAGTAATAAAGATTATACAAAAAACAAAACAAACAACAACAACAAGATTATAACCCATGTTGCCTTGAGTAATGAGAAACTGGACTCGATTCATAACGACATCATGAGCTAATCCACTAGTTTAGATCGCTCCCTAGTCTTTCACAAGTACACATCAAACTTTTAAGTATAACCTTTCCCTGAATCAGCCAACACCAAAAGTTTCATCCCCCTTTTTGTAGGTTTATCTCTAATATACTGACGAAGCGAAAACCTACCTTTGTTCCGCACCATTCTTTCATCAATAGAAATAGTTTTCCCTGGCTGATGCAAATTCAAGCTTTTTTTTTCTAATTACGTAAAAAAAAATTTAATAAAGAACTTAACACAATTTATCCCCCAGTTTCTCAGTATCGATATAAGAAATTTTCAAGAAACATAACACCTGTCGAAACCTGAACTTAGACATAACGAGCCCAAAGTCCATGAAAAGACTCCTCCTACTCCAATAAAGACCTACAATTGGGCACCTGTACCAAGCCCATGTACATGAGCAGCCCTATGAACTTGTAGAACTCATCCTCCTGCACATCTACCTATCCAGGATACATTCTAGGTTTGGTGGAACTAGGAGCCTCTCTACATTCGTGTTCGTCCACAGACGTAGTTGCTGGACAACGCACGTTTTAAAGTACAGCTTGAAGATGGACAGCGGCCCTAGATAACTCCTCCGGTCTCCTCTGGTCACAGACAGCCGTAGGTGGGGTCCGACTGGACGTCCAGGCTCGAACGCTGGAATGGAGATTTTGGACTACGAGTCGTAGTCTACGTGGCTGACATGAAAAAAGAGAGCGATTTGGGTCAATTTAAATACATTAAAATGAAGTTGCCTCAAAGCTGAAAATATTTTTAAAAAAGAAATAAACAGTGACACCTGCATTCCATTTCAGAATACTGCAAGAAAGACAAACAAACAATGACCACCTACTGGTAACCATGGTAAACAAACTTGGCCATACTGTTCTTGCACTAAGGGCTAGTTGTCCTGATAAGGACCTGACAAAGTACTTAAGTAGTAATGACTTATAAATAGATCATGAATGTATCTTGGTGTAAATGGGTTTAGAAGTTTTAAAAAAGACAGATTATTGCCAAGCTTGTAAATGACAATGATTTGTTACTCAAGTTACTGTATAAAGAGATCACATAATACGATGGTAACGACAGAAAATCATGGTACCTGAGATCGTCAACAATAACATCAGCTGATGGGGCTTGATTTTTCATCTTCAACAGTCTCTAGGGGTTCTTCGTCGTCCAAAAGCATCTCATTGCTTGAAGCATTGGCAATTTCTTTGTCAGAACTGTATTCTGAAGCCATTCTTTTCGTTTTTCCAGAGAGAGTGTGAACGGCAATGTTTACGGAATTCAAAAGGGAGGATCGAAGGACAGATGAGTATTATTTATGTTTCGTTTTAAGTTTTTGTCCGAAGAATGTACTCTTTTTTTAATAGTTCCAATTTCATTCGTCAAAGGAAGGATTCACCTTTTAAAAACACGCATTGTGATACCACGTTAAGGCAGATTATCAAAAAAATTAGTGCGCAAACCTGTCGACCACAGGTGGTCGAAATCTTGAGTAAAAAATGTTTTAGGGTTAAAGGAACAAAAATGTACATTTCCAGTTTTCAAGGACACTAAAACTTTGGCAGTCACTCACCTTAGGCAACCATTTTCTCTCTAAATTCACCTTTCACACCAGGCGACCACGACTTCCTTCAATCTCAAATATCTCGACTTCTTTTCAAGACAGATGAGTATTTTTTAAAATAGAAAGCGAGTCAAATTATGACGGGAGCCTGATTCCACCGCTTCGTGACTCATACATTAGGCTTTGAGGTTTTATTTTTATGTGTAGAAATCATAATGATTTAAATCCTTTTTCTCTCAGAATACCACTTGAACCTGCAATAGCACAGGCACTTGTAAATGTTGTACATCCCCATTGACGCAATTTAGATCTGTAAAAGAGAACTAAAGAGAGTTAAAGAGAGAGAGAAAAGAAGAGATATAGACCAAGGGAGAGAGAGAGACAGAGAGAGAGTGTGAGTGAGAGAGAGAGAGAGAGAGAGAG